AGAGAGAGAGAGAGAGAGAGAGAGAGAGAGAGAGAGAGAGAGAGAGAGAGAGAGGGGTGTCTTTTTGGGCATTTTTGGCAAAGGGGCCAGAATTGTATTCGGCTGATGAGACTTTTCGTTGGTCTGTTGGTGGTTAGCACTCTTGGCCAAGGGGCGACAGTTCTATAGTCTTCAGCCTAATAGAACATCCTGTCGTTATACCTGTATTTGTGGCAACTTTCTGTCTAGATACAGATAATGACGGAAAATTGCATCTGTAGATTCTGTACCCCACTTAAAAGATGAGAATACCCGCTATACTCAGTCCCAGCACCAACTTGCATCTATACCCAGACCCTGTTCAACTTACCGTAGTACCCAACTTTTCCCTTGTGTGAAATTGTGCACATACCCAGTCCTGCACCTCGTAGGTAGAGGACCATGGAATTATGCTCATGCCCAGAAACAGGGCTGGCAAAATTGTGGCTGTACCAGCCGAGATGGCATTCAAATTCGAAATGCCCATCCCTCCTCTTCCCCGTCCTCCTCTTCTTCCCCCTCAACCTTCCCGTACAAAGAGAGAGAGAGAGAGAGAGAGAGAGAGAGAGAGAGAGAGAGAGAGAGAGAGAGAGAGAGAGAGAGAGAGAAGGGTGGGGAAGGGGAGTAAAGGAGAGCTCACACTCGAGCGCTTGAATCTGTACGTGTTTAACGCGGATGTGCAAAAATCACAATTCCCTGCACTTCTCAGCAAAGCAGCCAGATTCAGGAATCCAATTCACTTTGCTAGCGGGCGGGCGCCTGGGTATACCAGTAATATCCCAGTGGACCATTGTGCCCAAATGGCCCCTGGGTACGAGGATTATTTTGGCCTTCCAGCAGTTGTGTATAAGTGCAATTTGGCCGGTTCCCCCTCAGTCACGGCTATGACCATAATTCTGTAATGAACCCAGTCTGACAGATACTCAGAAGTCGTCAAATACCTGTAGAGTTGGTATCTGCAGCAAAGTCTCAAATTCGTGAAGAAATATATCAAACAGTATCTCATTATCATCAATAGAAGAGAGTGGAGGGGGAACAGACAAGGGAGAAGATGAAGATTCACTCAATAATCCCTGTTGAACCCTCTCCTTCTCCGGGCTCCTCCCTTCTTCACATCAACAATGATGATAAGTAGATTCCTGATCACACACAGAAGTGCCACGTGGCACTCAATCTCATGAAGACTGTGAAGACATTGCAGATTCCAGTATCGACTTCAATTTCAGGTGAGTCCCGTTCTCCCTCAACCACAGATCCCGATCTTCCTCCTTCCTTGCAACCAGTCACCTCATGTAGACAGCGTGGACAATGCCACGTCAACTAACGAAACAGGTGGTAATAGCCACATCACCAATGTAAACCAGTAGCAGCGCCACATCAGTATGCCACGTAGACTAGAGGCAGCGCCACATATACCAGAGGCAGCGCCACGTCAGCATGCCACATAGACCATAGGCAGCGCCACGTATACCAGAGGCAGCGCCACATCAGCATGCCACGCAGACCATAGGCAGCACCACATATACCAGAGGCAGCGGCACGTCAGCATGCCATGTAGACCAGAGGCAGCGCCACATCAGCATGCCACGTAGACCATAGGCAGCACCACATATACCAGAGGCAACGCCATGTCAGCATGCCATGTAGACCAGAGGCAACGCCATGTCAGCATGGCCTGGCGCACTGAAGAAGCCCCAGCATGCTGCCTCCAACTCGTGCCGTTGCCCGCAACGCTTGTGCACAGCCAGCATGAAGCCAGCGTCGTGTCAAAGTCGAGCCAGCGTCAAAGCAGCATAGCAAGACTGAATGCTCGACTCCCTCGAGGCCAGCCTTAAGTAACAATTGTCGAGGCTGTCTGGCCTCGGGTGCCGTTCCCACAGTCGTCCAGATTGACTCACATCTGAAGGCTTGGATTGTACAGTTGCAGACTTCCCCCTTGGACCTGATGCTGTCTGGGTACCTGCATACAAACAAATGTGTGTGTCCGACCGGCGCCCTGGGCTGGGTACACTTTGACTTTGACTGTTGGGTGGACCGACGGTTGACTAAAATCAACTGTCACACGCCCAGGCCCTGAATTCGTGTGGGGTCTTTTTTCCCCTGTTTCGGCCTGGGCTGAGGGCGGGCAAGTAGGCCCTCAAATGACCCTCAGCTTCCACGGGACATATGGCATGGGATATTGCAATTCGGCCTGGGTGCCTTGGTATGGCCATAATTTGAGCATTCTGGTGGTTGATTACAGCCGCGATTTAGTGGGTCCACGTCAGTCATGGGTATGTGAATAAGTTGCATCGGGCGTTTCGAGGGTATAGGCGGAATTTTGCACTGGGGACTGGGTATAGCGGGTATTCCCATCTTTGAATGGGGTACAGACACATTTTTCCCTTGCAAAAAAAAAAGAAGAAAAAACGCCCTTATGTTCAAGCAGAGAAAGTTGATGTGATGGATGGCCATCTATTGGCTGCAAGTTTTTCGTCGAAAACGCACCTTCATCTTTCAAGCAGAGAAAGTTAACAATGTGATGGAAGACCCGTCTATTGGCTGCAGACTTTTGTTCATTAAAAAAAAAAAAAAAAAAAAAAAAAGCCCTTGAAGCAGAGAAAGTTAATGTGATGGATGCCCATTCTCTGCTTGGCTGCGTTGCATGCAGGTGTGTTCTTCGAGGATGTGTACCCAAGAAGATTTTAGTCTATGGTTCACAGTTCGGTTCTGAGTTTGAGGTAAGCCGGTACTATCCACCACTGAGGACTCAGAGCTGAGAAACTGCTGATCGCTGAGTGCTGACTGCAGAGAACTGCTGATCGCTGAGGACCGAGATCTAAGGACCGAGTACTGAGCGCTGAGGGCTGCAAACTGCAAACTGAGGACTGGACAGAGTACTGAGCGCTAAGGAGTGAATGGTGCCCACTGAGGACTGAGAACTTAGGATGAAGGAGCGCTCAGAACTGCTCACAGAGGACTGAGTGTTGAGGACCCGTCGCGGTGAACACCAAGCAATGAGAACTGCGCTGAGGACTTGAGAACTAAGGACCGAGTACTGCGCGCTGAGCAGTGTGAGAACTGGTCAGCGTGAGCCGAATGCTGAGCAGCGCGAGCTGGGAACTGACCACTGAGCAGCAAGAGCTGCAAACTGAGCACTGAGTAGTATAGTGAGAAATGAGCAGTGAGCAGTTCGCAGTGCTCAGCTCTCAATGCTGAGCAGCGAACAGTAGACTGAGAACTGAGCAGTGAGCACTGAGAAGTAGGCTGAGAACTGAGCAGTGAGCAGTGAGAGCTGAGCACTGAGGGAGCACTGAGCAGTAGACTGCGCACTGAGCACTGAGCACTGAGCACTGAGCACTGAGCACTGAGCACTGAGCACTGAGGTACTTACCATGCATAAGACTACTCAAGTAAAAAGACAAGATGATTTTCCACAAGATATGATAGATTTTCAAAAGACCACAAAAAAAATACGACAATTGAAAGGTCTCCAGTAGCTCAGTGGTTATAGCAAATGGCTGTTCACCGAGCACTGGGCGATGAGAATTGAGAACTGAACAGTGAGAGCTGAGAACTGAGCATTGAGCAGTGACAGCTGAGCACTGAGAAGTGAGTTTCAGTTGGTACTCGGATCTCAGTGATCAGGGTACAGGACTGAGAGCTGGGCACCGAGGTTTGAGTTGATTGTGAGTCCTGTGCTACTCACAAGGTGCACACTGAGAACTGAGCAGCGAGCAGTGAGCATTGAGCAGTAGACGGAGAGCTGAGAACTGAGCAGTGAGAGCTGAGAACTGAGCAATGACAACTGACTTTCAGTGAGTACTCGGTTCCCAGTGCTCAGGGCAGAGGACGCAGGACTGGGCAGTCAACAGAGCTTGAGGATGGAGCTTGATATAGAATATGGAAACTGACGTGAGCAACGAGGATTAAGCACTCTGTGTGTGTGTGTGTGTGTGTGTGTGTGTGTGTGTGTGTGTGTGTGTGTGCGCGTGTGTGTGTGCGTGTGTGTGTGTGTGTGTGTGCGTGTGTGTGTGTGTGTGTGTGCGTGTGGAAAGAGAGTGAGACAGAGTCTGAGAACCAACAGCAAGAGAACGTTCTCTCCTTCTCTCTCTCTCTCTCTGTGTCTGTTGTGTGTGCGCGCACTCACTCAATGTTCCAAAGAAAGCTGGCTTTTTTCGTCCAAGCTCTATCTGAGCTGAGCCCTCGCTTGCTAAGTGGGGGGG